GCCAGCCGTTTCTTGGCTTATGACACACCTTCACTGCTGACGTAACAGATCGATAGTATAGATTACAATTCATTAACAGATCTTCTGTATAGAAGTGAAATAAAATAAAGATGATATTGGCCTGAATCCGGTCAAAACTTATACAATTAGAATTAGTCTTTTTTAGAAGGCAACTGAATTGTCTAAATGAATTGACTATTGAAAAGGTTGAGGATTTTTGAGCTATTGCCTCATATTAGGTTTCTAAAATGCACCTTGAAAAACAATGATCTGGACTTCATAACAGTGCTCATCATCGAAAAATACCGGAGGACAATTATACCAGGGTTGACCTATCCACAGACAGCTCACCACCTTGAAATGCAAAATCGTTCTTCCGGATTTCGCAGTGGTTGTGCATTCGGTGAATCCGAAATACCTAAATAATTAAATGAAAAATTTCTTTTTAATAAGCCAACATTTGTAAATGCTGACCAAACCCGGTGTCTAGATACCTTTGAAAACTTCTTTGGAAGAACACATAATACGCTGAGGATTTTTATTTCATCGTCCTTAGAGAGTTCATCGAGAAAATATGAAATAAACTACTGAAAAATCTTGGGAACAGGTCGGTATTCTTATCAAGCAACAAATTTTCAAATGTTTCAAGAAAATTTTTGCAAAAATAGGGGAAAGTGAGTGCATCATTTATTTTTCTGAAAAATAAGCCACTAGAGTAGCATTCGCTTTTACCACGCGAAAGGCAATTATTACTTTTATGACAGAATTACATAAAAGGTTAGCAAGTTTTTCCTTTAGTGCAAGTTTACTTACAGATTGATAAGTAGTGTTTACTGTGGATACCAGAAAAATAAGCCCTGAATATGATAAGAGACAGATATGCAAGCCACATTTAACTATCACCCTCAAGTGGAAGAAAGTTCGTGAAGGAAACGCCAGCAATATTATATCACAGACTAGTTGTCAGATATGTATTAAAAATTAAACATGGTTTATCCCGTTTATCAGTTCGCCTACCGACGAACGAATGAACCAAGCACTGTAACTTCAGATACACGACATATACGTCGCAGTATATCAATCTTCATCTTAAATCTGGCTTTGAATAAGTTAGGTTCTAATTAATATTCCAAGGTTTACGAGGGAATGAGGTAGCACATAACGAGCAACATCAAAAACTGAAACATCGCTGATGATGAAGCGATGTGATTCTTGAAAGAAAATGACGTGAAACTCGTCTGGGACCGCAGGCTTTAAAATACCATGGATTCTGGCCTGTTTAAATGGCAGCCTAAGAACCAGGAGCAACAGGTAGGTGTGCCATACCACGAAATTTGGTCGAGGAAGAGTTGTAGTTAGAGACGAGAACAACTAAGGGTGTCCGCGGTAACTCAATCGATATCTAGTTTAAGATGTACGGAGTTAAGCGAGTGACTGCCGCATCAAAGAGCCGTTTTCAACAAGGATACAAGTTCATACCAGTAGCTCCTACGATATTTGGCGCGGTGTCTCGATCAGCAGGGACTAACGAGTGGCCGACTGTGGCCTGAAGAACCCGGTCGGCTGGCGACAGAAATGGCAGGAAACGCTTGCGCTGTGGCCTGCTGGACAACAATACGCCGACAGGCGACAGAGGCTTCGCCTTCTCGTCCGGAAGATGGTGATACTGCCTGAAACAATGAAAATACGTCATGCATACAGTTGCGCAGTAGCAACAAGTTTAACGGAACGACCTACAGACCATGCTCAGAGGAAAGCATGTCAGCTGGCCGGCATCAGTCTTGTATTGCTTGGCCATCTCTTCGACTAAATCACAAAACAAAGTATGACAAATATTCCACCTACAAAACACTCACCAACGTGCGCCTCTTCGACGTGCTGAACTAACCGACAAGCACTGGCGAACTCCAAGTGACACCCGTCAAACATGCAAATATTACGAAAAAGCAACGACATTCTTAGTTTTGAAAATCCTACTTGCAGATGTGACAGCTATCCTAGGAATATGTGAAACTTTGAATCCAGAAATTTGAGAAATTTTCAACAACTGTAAGGACTTACTTATAGCGATGTCCAGGAACCTGAGCTGCTGTCGGTTACAACAGTTTTAATATTCTACATGTTCGTAAAAAATGTGCTCAGCTTTCCATCAAAATTCAACCGGAACATGATAGATATAGTATTTCCTATAGATCTTCTCATGCCAGTTGATACAGTACAACTCTTCCTTTTTATAGGATCTACCCTGAAAATCTCGGTCTTTTGTAGTGGGAAAATTCACGTCTGTGAATGCCGTCGCCAGAGCAACATGTGGAAAACTGTCCCCGAAAAGCGGGTAAAGCTTGTTTCTTTGACCGGATATTCATAGTGTGACGAATATTTTCAGAAATTCTTTCCAGCCTTCCTTTACAGATGGCCGTATACTTTAATGCTTATTTCGTGCCGTGGTGGATGATTGCTCATGCTTGTTCTTTTTACCAAAAGGTAATTTGCGTTCTTCATCTGTTTTTGGCGTAAGATTAGCAAGCTTTTGCATATCTTCGCTTGTCATTTGAACCGTACGCAGTAAACTTACAACTTCGGTTAAGAAAATATTTCGAGTATCTCGGGAACCGTCTCGTTTCTTTAAGCCCTTGTAGAAGTATTATTTTGTTCTTAAATATTACGAAATTTGTGAGTAATCTTCATCTTCTTCATCTTCCATCGCCGCTTCTCCTTCCGGGTCGCGGAGGCAGACGCGTCAGACAGT